TGCTAGAAGCCCTTGCCAGTGGCTGGGCATCGCGCTGCTCCGCCCCCGTTTGCTGTTCCCTAGTTGCATACAGCGTGGGGGCTCTTCCGCAGAGTGTCCGATAAATGTGCAATCCTCTGGCTGGCCGTCTTCGTCTTCTGGTTCCTCCTGTCCGGGGGAGCGCCTTCGGCAGTGCTTGACTTGGTCGGTGACTGGTTGGCTTGAAGGCAGCGGGTGAGTCAATATCTCCGAAAGGTGGTAGCGGACTTTGATATGCTGCGATGCTGCCTCCAATGCTTGATGTCGTCCGTCTCGTGCTTGCGTTTGTCCTGGCGCTGGTTCTGGTTGCGCTGGCGGCGGCGGCGGTGCGTCTTCTCGCTCGTGGCCGCCCGGGTCAGCAATTGGTCGGCGCCCTGTTGATCGGCGCGATGCAATGGAGCTGACGATGGCCTCGCGGGCGGCAGGAAGTTGATCGACGCAGTGGCCGCTGGCGCCGAGATCGCTGCGGTCGCGGCGGTGGTCTTCGCGGCGCCCTGCGTCCTGCGCCCCGCCGCTCCTTGCGCGGTCAGAGCCCGGGAAAGGCAAGTGGGGTCCAAGCTCGTGGGGGCGATGTCGGCGGGGGCGCCCCACTAGCAGTGCCGCGCCTCTGCTTGGCTCTCCTGAATCGGAACATTAATTGCTGGCGCAGCGCGTATGCGGTGATCCACTTTCGTAATGGGTCGCGCGCGTGGAAGACCATCTTCTCGCGGTGCCAGAAACTCTTCGAGCTCAGCGGGTCAATCGATGCGTCGGGCCCCCGCGCCTCCCTTATTGCTTGTCCGTTCGATGTGGGGGGCGTAGTTCGGCCACGGGGGCCTTGTGGCCGGGTGAATGGCAGCGTGCGCGATTCTTCACTCCCGTTGCTTTACCGGGTGCTGCTTGTCTTGCGATCCGACGCGCGTCCGCCGAGTGCCCTTGCTTTCGGGCTTTCACCAACTCAGGGTGCAATTTTTCGCGGCACGTGGCGTAGCCCCGTGCGGCTGCTCGTCTGATCCGGCACGTGAGAGCGCGGGTCTCCGTCTTGAGCGTGTCCAGATCGACTTCGCGCTGATCGAGGACTTCTCCATGCTCCTGCCACGAGTGGGCAAATTGTTCGCGTAGATGTCCGCGAACTCGGAATTGCTCAAGTTCGGCTTCCCGCCGAGCAAACGCCTCCTCGCGCTCGTTCTCGTTGCCCGTGATGCCAAAGTGGCCCTGGCCAGTGTTCAGCGATCGAAATCGGGGCGAATCTCTTCGCAATGCCCCTCCAGCTGCTCGGTTATTTGTGCCATCCTTTGGTCGAAGTCTCCGTGGAGTGGGAGTCTGCCGGCTCCAGGTTGCAATGCTTAGGCCATCTTTGTATAGTCCTAGCCTGAGTTGGTGAGGCGGTGAACATGCGTCGACATCCCGTAACCAGTTGTTGCAAAGACAGGGAGGTGTTCCCGTGGACGAGCGTCTGGTATCATCTGTAAGTGGCGACCCCGTTTCCAGGCCACCGTGCACATTTCTACTCCCTCCATCAGCGACGCTGGTATGATACCTATGTATATTGTGCTGGTGTCGCTGTTTGGGGCTAAAAAGACTGACGGGCCCGCCTCTGGATGGCGCGCATTGGAGCAGGCCGTGTCTATCGACGAGAACGTCTCGCAGGAGCCTATCGCCTGCGCAGCCGCTCCTGTTGAGGTACAAAGCGCCGAAGCAGTGCTCCTCTTGGTCGAGTCGAGATTGGTCTCCCCCCCGCTGGCATAACCGAGCCCTGAGTTTCTGTCGAAGCCTCCGATCGGAGTGCATCTGGCTGGCGTACATGATACCCCCTTGTGAATATGATCCGTAATGATCTCGATGCTCTTGAACTGCGCCCTCCTAGCGCTGCCCGTCTCGTTGAATGGTGGTGGGTACCCCGTCAACGCCAGAATGTCGATAACTCCAGGCTTGATGCGTCTGTCCCTTGATATGCCTTCCAATCCGCGCGGTGCTGGGGTAGATGAAGTAATCTGATTCCGTAAGAGCCTTCTTCCCACCAGTGCTTGTGCCTGCACAGTTTGCCACGTACGGGGAACGCCGCCATCCGAAGTGAATCGCTGTCCGTTTCTCTGGAAGGTTCTGTACGTGGTACCGTCTGTCGATTCACTCCCGAAATCGAATGCCATTGGGCAGCGCAGTATCCACGTCCAATAAGTTTGCAATCTTCTCCAATCGCGGACTGTGCACCAACAAACAATGGGTTGTATATCGCCACCTGCAGTAATAACCGAATGTGGTCCCTTGTGGGGACCTGTGTCCACACATCAGAGGGCGAGAGGGGGACCGTTGGGAAGGCGCGAAATATGCGGGGGCCTTCGGATCGCTTCCTGTTGCTTGTCTGGGCCGAAGTGCAGCTGGCATCGCTGTGTGTCGGAATTGCTGTTTGGGCATCCCACCATCCATCTGGGCCAAGGTGGTCTAAGCGTTTCCACTTCCATTTTCCGTTCTTCCCCCCCCCTGAGTCTGGGTGGCAACGCTCGCGAGCAGGTGGAGCGAACAAGAAGGCTTCAGCAGCTTGGAGCGAACAAGAGAATCCCAAAGACCCCCCGGAAGCACGTAAGGTAAGGCTAAGAGTCCTCCCCGGGAGCCTGCAAGACGTCCTCAGAGACCCCTCGTAATCCAAGACGCATCCGCTGGGAATCGTGACTGGATGGGCTGGTGGGGATGCGCGAAGTGTTGAGACCATCTAAAACCCTATGTTTATGTCGGGCGTGTCCCCCTATACAGGGGAATTTTCGCCGAAAAATTAAGAATACCCCCAAAAAATACTCGGTAAAGGTCAACAGACACTCAAAAAATAGCCCCCCGACTATGTTTGGACTATTTCTGGGGTATCTTTCATGTTTCGTCGAAAGTCCCCCTGTAGGTGACTACCTACCAGACCACCCCAACCCAACCCCAAGACCCATATTTGACCCGAATGTCGGGTTGGGGGGGTAGGGGTTCCATGTGTTGTTTCAACGTTCTCCGACCCCCCCCCACTGGAAACGGAGGGCAAATTGAGGCCTTCGGGTTCGGGTTCGGCCCCGACTATTTTGGGACTATTTTTGGGGTATTTGCCATGTTTAGTCGGAAGTCCCCCTGTAAGGGGGAAGCGCCCGACTCGACACCGTGTTGACCTGGCTTCGGACCCGCCGCTCCTCGACCGAGGGGCCGAAGGTCGGGGATGGACAGACCCCCCTTTAGAAAAAACGCGTTTGAAGGGGCCCCAGGACACACAAATAAATACACACAAATGAAAGGATTCCCAATCTTTTCATATATTTTCTTGGTTTTTGTCTTCCCCCCCACTTCCCATATTTTCCCATATTTTCCGGGGATCGACGATAAATTGTGTCTGTGTGTTTTTTCCCCTCCTGAGCGTTTTCCAGACACTGACAAGCACACGATCTTCGATCTGGTCTGCTCCAGGGGCCGAACACACCTCGGGCAGGAACCCCGGCGACAGGTGCGTTCTCTAGGACCACGTTCGGGGATGGACAGACCCCTTTTAGTAAAACGTGGTTTAGTGGAAACGACCTGAGGCCCAAACCTGGCGGGCGCAAGCCTGGAAAATGACGGCCGCGGCGCCCTCTCGAGAACCGAAAACGGACAATTCACTAATCGACGTGTCACTGTTGGGGGTTCTGTCCACCCCCAGTAAGTCGGGCCTGTCCCCCTACAGGGGGATTTTTGACGACAAATAAAAAAGACTCCCCCCAACAATAGACAAAACATAATCCAAACATAGTCCGGGGACTCTTTTTTGAGTATCTGTTGGCCTTTTTGGGGGTATGTTTGTGGGGTATTTTGTATTCTTCGTCGAAGATCCCCCTGTGGGGGGACACGCCCGACGTAAGCCCACGACCACGATGCGCAGAGTTGGAAGCAGGATGGGGATGCGGGGGCAGCCCGCGCACGCCTGGCAGCGCACCCCTTGGCGCTGCGGGTGCCACCAACTTCCGAGGCGCCGCGCGCTTCGGCTTCGGATCCCCGCTCGTCTTCTCCACGAGGGAGCGCACTACGGCGACGGGCAAGATCGCGCGTTTTTTCCGGGCACTGGCAAACTTTTTGATCTGCGGGGCGAGAGCGAACCTCTTCCGCTAAAAACTAGGCGGGCGACGCACAGCTTTCATCAGGGAGACGGGGCACAGGAAGGCGGGGCCTCCGGCGGGAACGCTGGCGAACACACGATCTTCGATCTGGTCTGCTCCAGGGGCCGAACCCACCTCGGGCAGGAACCCCGGCGACAGGTGCGTTCTCTAGGACCACGTGGCGACGTCGACCGACCAAATTCGTACTTGAGCCGGGAAACCGACATACGGAAAACGGCGGACGGAGACGAGAACGCGGGAAGGACAAGGGGTTGGAGACGCGGAGGATGCGACGGTAAACGCGTGAGGATGGAGAGGAGTCGACCACTACAGCAATGTAGAAGTGTGCCATGCTTGGAATCGCAATCGTACCGGATCGAGCGCCGAGATCGATTCGAATCGACTGGGATTGGCCCGGGTGGGGTTGATTCTCCTCATGTCCCTCCCACTTTTGCTCCTCCGGTTCCTTCTGATCCTACTGCCCCCCTGTTCCTGCTGCTGTTTCCTGCTCATGCCCTTTCTCTTCCTCCTGCCTCACTCCCCATCCTCCTCATCTTACTGCACCTCCTCCTGCCGCAGTCCCTGTCCATTTCCTCCTCGTCCTCCTCCCTTTCCTTCATCTCACTACTCCTAAACTGTTGTCCCTCCTCTTCCTCCTGCCTCCTCCTCCACCTCCCCGCTCCTCTTCCCTCCTCCTCCTCTTCCTCCTCCTCCTCCTACTGCACCTCCTCATCCTCGTCTTTGTCGTCGTCGCCCTCCTCACCCTTCGTCTTCCACCTCCGTTCTCTATCTCCACCTCCTCCGCCTCAACCTCCTTCCCTCCCCTTGCTGCCTCGTGTCCTCCATGCAGGTCCTCCAGCCCAGAGGACTGCTGAGCCTGGATCTCCCATCCCCAGTGGGGGCGGCCTGAGTCTATGTCCGAGTCCGAATTGTCAGCGTTCAGGCCGTCTCTGAATTCGTCCTCGGGCACTGGTGGTGCTGGAGGGACTGAGGGGGGAAGGGAAGAATGGAGATGTTTTCGAGGCGCTCGCGCTGCTCCAGGACTCCCTGGATAGTTCGAAGGTCTTCCAGGGAAGAGAGGGAGTAGGGAGAACGACGCAGAGGGGGGGAAGGAAGCCCGCGGGCCACGGGGAAGGAAAGGGGGAACTCCTCCTCCTTCTCCTCCTCCTTCTCCTGCTCCTCCTCTTCCTTCCCCTCCTCCTTCTCCCCCTTCCCCTCCTCCTTCTCCTGCTCCTCCTCCTCCTGCTCCTCCTCCTCCTGCTCCTCTTCCTCCTCCTGCTCCTCCTCTTCCTTCCGTGCGAAAGAGCAGACATGGTAGCACATGAATCGTCCCCTGCCTCCTCCCTCCTCCCTCAAGCCTCCTCCCTCCGCCCTCCCTGCTGCCCCCCCCCCCCTTCTCCTCGCCCTTGCCCCTCCATCCCGCTCCGATGCTCCTCCTCCCGGCTGCGCCCATGAGCTCGAAACTGCCCGACAGGGATACTGGCTGAGATGGGACGTCAAGCCCACGAGGGGTCCGAGGAGCTGGTGCCCCGGGCCCCGGCCAAACTTTCTTGCGTCGTGGCCTTGCGGCGGCCCCTACACACACGAATACGGACCCGCGGACGCTCACCACCTTGGGCGCCCGAGTTATCCGGGGTAACTCGGGTCCAGGGTAACTCGGGTTCGGAATCCCGAAAAGCGAACCCGAGTTAGCCCTGACCCGAGTTACCCCTGATGATTCGGGGCTCTGACTACCGGCGTCGAGCTGGCCGAGGGGTGCTTCTCCAACGCGAGTCCAGCCGCGGCGAGGACCCTCAGAGACCGGCAGCGGTGGCGGCATTTCATTTCGGGGGACAGCAGGTGACACAGACGTACGCTTTCTTGGAGGCCCGCGCGGACCCCCGACAATCCATGTTCAAGTCGGGCGTGTCCCCGTACAGGGGGGTTTTGGGCGAAACATAAAAAATAGTCGAAACATACCCTAAAATGCTCAAACATGGTCAAACAATCGTCCCCATATTTTTTTTTTTGTGTGTGTGTGTGTGTCTGTGTGTGTGTGTGTGTTTTGTTGTAACAAAAAACAAAAAAACAAAAAAACAAACATTATGTTTGAAGATGCCCCCTGTAGAGGGACAGGGCCCGACTTGAGCGCAGCCGGCCGCAGAGCCTCTCGCCAGGGCGGGCCCTCCGCCGCGGTGGCCCTCCGCGCCCCGTCCCGTGCGCCGCGCGCCGGGGCTCCGGCGGCCGCCGTGCGCCGGGGCGTCCCGGGCAGGGCCTCGGAGCGCGGGGCCCGGGAGCCCGCTGCTGGCTTTCCGTCGGGCGCGTGCCCCGTACCGGGGGAGTGTCGACGAGAGATAAGGAAGACTCAACAAATACTCAACATATTTGGACCCGAAATGGGTACCGAAAGAATGGGTACAATGCCCAACAACAAATGTTGTCCCAAGTCAACAGCGGCCGCTGTTGGGCGGGCGGCCTCCTGTCTCGAATGGACACAGGCCGCGGCGGCGTGGACAGCGGATCTTGTTCAAAATGAACAAGATCCGCTGTTGGGCATAGTACCTATTCTTTCAATACCCATTTCGGGCGTCCAGAACATATGCCCAAACATAGGGGGGATTTTCGATGTACAACATATGCCCAACACATGCCCAACATATGCCCCAACATACAAAGCGTCCCCCTTACCGGGGGAGTATCTACGAAAAATAAGAAGTACTCAACAACATACTCAACATATGCCCAACAATACTATTTAAACAACTGCTTTTTCATGGCTGCTTTTTCATGGCCGCTCGCTGCTCGCTGCTTTTTTCCATGGCTGCTTTTTCATGACTGCGGGGGGGGGAGTGAGAAGTAAGGGCTCCCAACTTCGCGCTTCGCGCTGCGCGAAGCGCGAAGTGCGAATAACTCGGGAGCCCAGGAGCTCGCTGCTCGAAGTGCGGGGCCCGGGAGCCCGCTGCTCGCTTGAAGTCGGGCGCGTCCCCCTACACGGGGATTTTTGACGAGAAATAAAACATGCCCTCAAAATACTCCTCAAAACAATTATCCCCAGACCATCTTTTTACTATTTTTGAGTATTCCCCCTGTCGAGGGACAGGCGCGACTTAATGCTAGCTGCTTTTTTGTCATGACTGCGGGGGGGAGTGAGAAGGGGGGGGGCCTTCTCCCAAGGGAGGCGAGCCACCCCGACCCCGACAATTGGCGTTGGCAACCCGGCCCCCGGGCGTTTGCGAGACGGCCCTGCCTAGTTCGACTCTCTTTCCTTGGGTGCGTTTGCTAAAGGACTGCGTTTGCTTCATGGTCCGTGCATGGAAATTTGAGGATGCGGCTTCGAACTTTGCGGTTCCGGGAGTTCTCGGAGGCATTCGCCCGTTCTTGGGGGCTCCCCAAACCAGAAGATGTGAATCTGGGGTCTGGGGCTGGTGCAGCCGTCGTGTTACCACAAACGAGCGCGGAACGAGGGGCGAGGGGGGCTTCTCTGGCCAAGGCGAACCTCGGCCACGACCGATCTCCCTGGCACAGGAGGAGGAGGAGGAGGAGGAGGAGGAGGAGGAGGAGGAGGAGGAGGAGGAGGAGGAGGAGGAAGAGGGGCGAAGAATGGTCCGGAAACCAGAGCCCCTCCTGAGCTCAAACTGGTCCTTACAGTGCGGGCGCGGCCGCAAGAAACCCTCGCAACCTATCCAACCCTGAAAACCAGCGCGAGAGGTGCACCTGACGGGGAACCCGGAGCACCCTGAAGGCAGCAGCTTCTTTGACGGCCGCGGGCAGTCACCGCGCCGCGCGCGGAGCGAAGAAGCCAAACGGGTACCCTGACGAAAAGCGTATGGTTGCTTGATGTGCGCCCAGAGAAGGCGCGGACTTCATGGGCCCAGCCTTAAGTCGGGCCTGTCCCCCTACAGGTGGATTTTCGACGAAAAATTAAGAATACCCAAAACATAACCCAACAAATAATCAAAAAATCGTCGGGGGACTATTTTTGGAGTATTTTCTGACCTTTTTGGGGTATGTTGGGGGGTATTTCTTATGCTTCGTCGAACATCCTCCTATAGGGGGGACAGGCCCGACATAAGCCCAGCCAGGGCCTGCCTCTCCTGCAGCGGCGGCGGGCCGCCACCGCCGCCCTCCTTCTGTCGAAGGTCTGTCGACGGGGGGGGCAGTCCACGTGGGGTTATGTCGGGCCTGTCCCCCACACAGGGGGATTTTCGACGAACAAATAAAAAAATACCCGACAAATGCCCCCCAAAAGTCAAACAATAATAAAAAACAGTCCCCAGCCTATTTTTGGGCTATTTTTGGAACGTTTTTTCGGGTATTTCGTATTTTTCGTCGAAAATCCCCCTGTAGGGGGACAGGCCCAACTTAAACGTGGGGTAAAGAAGCATGCGCCCTCGGTGCAGCCTTTGGGCCCGCGGTGGCAAGTTTGGACCCGCAAAAGGTCGTTGAGGGGCAACTTTTCAACAAGGTTCGATCTCCCACGACCACTGCTCCCAGGTGCCTGGGAGAACACAAAATGACAGTACACCAAAAACAAAAAAAACCGATCAAAAAATGGTTTGGTGGATAAGAAGATCGACCGGGAACCCGGGAACCCACCGAAATCGGCCCAGAACCAATAACCAGGAACCCAAGAACCCGGAACTGGGCACCCGGGAACCCAGCCCGTCACCAAAATCGGCGGGAAACTTTCGCCAAATCTTTTAATTGCCGCTCGGACCCCTTCAGTGCAAGCACTGACGACTGGAGAAAAAACATGAAAAACCTGGAGGTCCGTGCGGATTTCTGGGATCGGGGCCGGACCCCCTCCCTGGCGCGCTCCGCGCGCCAGGGGCGGCGCCTGAGGCGCCGCCAAGGGGGCCTCAGCTCCGATCCAAGACATCTGCGCGGAACACCGAACATTTATATTGTTGCCGTTGTTTGTTGTTCGACCGTTGCCGTCCGCCCGACTTTGTGAGCTCGCGCCTCACGTTTTCAGGTGTGGTGCGGGGGCGATCTGGCCACAAAGGAGCATCACCGTGGAAGAGGCTGAGGGCACCGCTGGGGGCGAAGCGCGGCCGCCCAAACCGGTCTACCAACGCGGCTCTGATGCGCGAGCGTCGTTGCTGGGTGCGTCCGCATGTGGCTGATGCGGGCCAGGCTCGACGCGAGGACAATGGAGCCGAAGGAAACACCACTGCCCACCCCCGTCAGCGTCCCTCCCTCTGCTGTTTCGCTCTCCCTATCCTCCTCGAGGCACTGTGCGGACGACACAATGCGTCGCCGTCTCAGGCGTGGAGCCACCCAAGCCAAGCTGGTAGCTAACGTGGAGGCGGTCCCCGTGCTCGTAAGCCATCAGCTATGACGGAGTTGTCTGTCAACCGCCTCCCAGTGCTGAGCGTCACATAACTGAAGGGGTCGTCGGAGCAAGCCACACCTCACAATTTCATTAAGATCTGAATATTTGGCATGGTAGATCTTGTGGTTACTACGGTCATGCTTAACTTTTGAAGCTGGAGCGCGTCTGTCAGCGTCGGCCTTCCCTGGCTAGAGTTGATACCTTCGTGGTTTCCAAAGCAAAAGGTCCTGAGCAAAGCAGGGCACGCCCATGCGCACGACGGCACCAAATCGGCGAACCTTGCTCAACATGGCGACGCACATTGGGTTTGTCACATGGCCATCAACATCTTAGTACCCCCTCTTCTCCTCCCTCCCGCCCCCATCCCGCCGCCCCCATTGCCCTTCCCCATCCCCACACTTCTCCTTCGTGCTCCCTCAACCCCGCTCCCCTTTTTGGACGCCCGAAACTGGTACGGAAAAAATGAATACAATGCCCAACGACAAATGTTGTCCCAAACCAACAGCGGCCGCTGTTGGGCAGGTGGCCTTCTGTCTCGAATGGACACAGGCCGCGGCGGCGCGAACAGCGAGTCCTGTTCAAAATGAGCAGGAACTGCTGTTGGGCATCGTGCCCACTCTTCCCGTGCCCAGTTCGTTCGTGCCGACCCTTCCTCCAAACAAGATCCTGCCTCGGCCCCCTCCCGCCTTCCCCGAGACTCCTCCATCCCCTTGCCCCATTGCCCTCCCCCATCCTCACAGTTCTCCTTCGTGCTCTCTCAGCCCCGCTCCCCTTCCTCCAGACAAATCCTGCCTCGGCTCCCCTCCCGCTCCCCTCGAGACTCCTCCGTCCCCCTTGCCCCCCAAGGCGAGGCGGGGGCCCGAGGGAGACTGGTCTCACAGGCCTTTCGAGGCCGCCGCGCACGAGCCTCGCTCAACCGATCCCTACCTCCACGGGCGTGGCCTGGGCCACGCTGGCCGAGGTATCCCCCTGGAGGGGGAGATGGGCTGTGCCGTTCGAGTTTCGAGGGGCATTATCCCCAGCCAGGGTGGTGGGACGGTGGGGACCTGGACGGGGACGGAGAAGGGGATAGGGATCGGTTGCACGATGCTGCTGAGCGCAGCACCCCCCCCCCCTGGCGGAAGAAAGTCCTGGTCGTCGTCCCAATGGTTGATGTCCCGCGAGAGCTCGTGCTTCCGCGCCACCTGGGCAGGGCCGCGGCCACAGCAGCCTCTTCCTGTCACCCCTCTCCTTGCTCCTCTCTCGCGCCCCTCCCTTCCCCCTTTCTCTTCTTCCTCCTCCCCTCCTAATTTCCCTCTTCCTCCTCTGCCATCTCCTCATGATCTCGCCTCCGTCTACCTCCTCTCAACACTCTCCCCTCCTCTCCCTTTCCTCTACCTTCTCCCTCCTTCTCGCTCCGAGTCCTTCTCCCTCGCTTATTTCGTTTCTGGCACGCAGGACGATTTATACAGAAACATGTGAATCCGCCACCATGCCCCCTGGCACGTTGAGGCGTGGTAAGACCTGATCGGACAATAACGGGCAGCGCCGCTGACAAGGACGAGGACGAAGAGGACGAGGGCGAGCACAAGGAGGAATGCGGAGGACGATGGCGACGACGACGACGGAGGACAGTAAGAGGAAATTGGAGGTGGACGTTGAATCAGGAGAGGGTCCTGGTGACCCTATCGGGCTGACCTGGGGGCGCCTGGCGCCGCGCGGGGTCGTCTGTGGGCCTGTTGGGGGCCTCTTGGGTCTTCTTGTGGGCTTCTGGGGTCTTCTTGGGCTGTCTGGGCGCGTCGTGGGGTTCTTTGGGAGCTTTCCTGGGCCATCTCGGCGCCTTCTTGGGCAGTCTTGGGGTTTTCTTGGGCCGTTTGGGGGCCTCCTGGTGCCTCTCGGGAGTCTGTTGGGGCCCTCTTGGCCCGTCTTTGGCCGTCTTGGGGCTCTCCTGAGCTGTCTGGGTGCCTCCTGGAGCGCTCTTTGGGGTCTTTTGGGGCCCTCTTGGGGCGCTCTTGGGCGCTCTAGGGGCCCTTCGGGACGTCCTGTTGGACCTCCTTCGGGCCGTTCGAAAGCCCTTCGGGAGCGATTCCAAGACGATGCCGATTTACAGTCCCCTTCCGGGGCCGATTCTTCGGGGGTCTCTCGAGCGAAACGGCCGCTTTCAGACACCTGATCGGACAAGAACGAGAAGCGCCGATTTTGTCCGTGGGGCTCGCAGGAGGAACGGAAGAAACGGATTGCACCAAAAAACAACCCAAATCGGTGGATGGTTTTCGCTGAGGGGATCGACCGGGAACCCGGGAGCCCGGGAACTCAGAACCCACCGAAATCGGCCCGGAACCAATCACGGGGAAACCGGCCGGGAACCCGGCACCGGGAACCCGGGAGCCCAGCCTGCCACCAAAATCGGCGGGAAACGTTCGCCAAACCTTTCAGCTTCCACTATAGGACCCCTTCAGTGCAAGCACTGATTGGGGAGTGCTGACGGAGGCAAGGCGGCGGATGTCGAGGATGGCAGCGCGGACGGCGGCGAGGGCCGCGAGGGGAGCCGAGGGACAGCGAGCAGGAAGGAAGACGAGCACGGCACGAAGACGAGGAGGAAAGCACGGACGAGGACAAGTACGATCAGGAACGCAGCGGAAGAGGGGAGGAGGAGGAAGATAATAATGGTACGAATAAGAAACGTAATAATACTAAACATGGCAAGAATAATAATATTAATAATAGTAATAGTAATAACAATAATACTAATAATAATACTAATAATAATAGTAGTAGTAATGATAATACTATTAATAATAATACTAATCGTAATCGTAATAATAATAATAACAACAATACTAATAATAATAATAACAATAATAATAATAACAATAATAATAATAATGAGCAAAAAACGGAGAAGGCGAATACTAATTATCAGAAGGACGACGACGACGGCGAAGGACGGTAAGGAGCCTGACAAGAAAAGACGCCGACGAAGAGAGGAGTCCTCGTGATCTCTTGAAGCTGCACTGGGAGCTGTTGGAGCCGTCTGGGGCTATCTTGGGCCATCTCTTGGGCCATCATGGCGGCCTCTTGGGGGCCTGCCGGGGTCCTCTTGGAAGCTACCGTGGTGTTTTTGGGCTGTCTGGTCATGTCTTACGAATTCTGCGGGGGCTCTTTAGGGCAATCTTGGCGCCATCTTGGGCTGCCTCGGGCCGTCTTGCTCTGGGCCTCTTCGGGCACTCTTGGGGGCCTCTTTGGTGCCTCTTGGGGGTCCCTCGGGGCGCTTCTGGGGTCCCCAAGGGGGCCTTCGGGAGCTCTCCTGCATCGTTTTGAAACCCTCTGGGAGCGATTCCAAGATAATGCTGGTTCGGAACCTGACCGGACAAGAAAAGGACAAGACGCTTTAGTCCAATAGGCTTATTGAGCGAAGGAAAAGGAAAATAAGGCGAGGGCGACGAGGAGGTGATGACGAGGACGACGTGGAGAACGTGAGGATAGCGAGCCGGAGCATGAGAACAACGAGGAAGACGAGAAGCACAACGAGGACGAAGAGAACGAGGATGAACGCGCGCGTGCCTTTTTCGTCCCATTGGTTGCAAACAACTCTTGACATCTTGTGATTTTTGAAAGACGGGTGAGCGCGCAGAATGTCTGTAGCAGAGGATGAAAGGGGGAACGATACCAGCCTGACTGGGATGGTACGGACTCAACTTTAAGATGGACGATGGGGCAGAATCAAAAGTACATTACAATAGGAACAGGGTGGCCGTTCAGTCGGGGGGGGCCGGTCATTCTACCCTTTCTGGAAGGAAGATTCATGATGTGCGATCCATGTTGTGCAACATACGCGGTGCACTATTTGATGGACGCTTTATGTTGCGATTTATATATTGTGCAATATCAGTTGCATCTTTGCGGCCGCGCCAGCCCGCGCATGCGCGCGCACGCAGCGGCCAGGTAGTTTGGCGCGACCGACGAGGCCGCGGTGGTGCTGACCGCTCGGCACATCCCAGCGGGCATTTGGGTGCGAGTCGGCGGCTTGGGCGGGCGCGGTACCATGGCAACGTCGACACTTGTAGACACGATGGCTATGATAGTGGCGATGTTGCTGACGACAACTGTGGACACGATGGTAATGATAGTGGTGATGGCGGCGTCGATGCCGATCACGCCGACGACGATGACGGCGTCTTCGCGTCGGTGATGAAAGTTTTGAAGGAACTCGAAATGCGCGCGCGGCAGACGCGCGAGAGTGGCTCGCATGGTATGATTTGACACGGCTCCTGCCACCCCAGCACGCGCGCAAGGGCGTTCGAATGACTTCGACACGCGCGCGCGCAAAGCCCGTTTGGTAACCTTTGTATGAACATGTTGAGGAACTGGTGGGCCCGTCAGGATTCGCAAAAGCGCGCACGCTTTTGTTGAAACTCTGTGTTGCGAAACCGTCTGTTTTTGTATGTGTTTAGACACTCGGTTTTGAAACCTGTCCGGCACCGTCGGTTTTTCATTGTTTTCGGCTAGCGCGCGGCGAGGCGCGCGTGTGCACTTCGTCGCATTTTTCGCAAGGGCTTCTCGCAACGGCACGCGCGCAAGGGCGTTCGAACGATTTCGACATGTGCGAACGAAGCCCGTTTGGTAGTATTTGCTTGAAAATGTTGAAACACCCATGGTTTTCTTAAGAATTCGCAGCAACGCGCGCACACGCTTTTGTTGAACATCCGTGATACTAAACCCAATGTTGTTTATACTTTTCTTTCGGCGTTCGGTCTTGATATCGTTCCGACACCGAATGTTTCTGAAGGGTTTCGGCGTACGCGCGCGACGACGCGCGGGTGAGCACTACGTCCCATTATTTGCAAGTGATGTTCGCAAACGTATGCGAAAAAAAACGACTGTGCGCGCATAGTACTTGTTGCAGACGGTAGCGGGGGGGGGGATACCAGCCTGGTTGGGATAGTATGAACTCGCAGGTAGGATGGACATTGGGTCAGAATCATGTGTTTTACACAATTTCCCGGGGGTGGAGAATTCGGGGAAGGGGAGGGTGGTAGAACTTCTGCTTTCGAAGAAAAATAATTTCTGTTCGAAATGAATTGTCAACTCCACTGCTCGCGCAAGCACCCCACCCACCCACCCGCAACTTGGTTTGCAAACCTCATACGGCGGCGATTGCGATGATTGCCTGGCGCTGGTTGGTGCATCTCTGCGGCCGCGCCAGCCCGCGCACGCGCGCGCACGCAGCGGCCAGGTAGTTTGGCGCGACCGACGAGGCCGTGGTGGTGCTGACCGCTCGGCACATCCCAACGGGCACTTGGGTGCGAGTCGGCGGCTTGGGCGAGCGCGGTATCATGGCAACGTCGACACTTGTAGACGCGATGACAATTGTAGACACGATGGTTGTGATAGCGGCGATGACGGCGCCGATGCCGACCACGCCAACCACGATGACAGCGTCTTCGCGTCGGTGATGAAAGTTGAAGAAAGAATCCCAAATGCACGCGCGGCAGACGCGCGGGAATGGCTGACATGGTAAAATTTGACATGGACCGTGCCACCCCAGCACGCGCGCAAGGGCGTTCGAATGACTTCGACATGCGCGCGCGCAAAGCCCGTTTGGTAACCTTTGTATGAACAGGTTGAACAACTCATTTTTTGTTAAGAATTCGCAAGAGCGCACGCACTCCGTTGTTGAAAATTCGAGTTGGAAAACCCTATGTGATTATATATAGTTTGGACACCCTGTTTTGACATCGTTCCGGCACCGCATATTATATATGTATATGTGTATATATATATATATATATATATATATAATATTTCGGCATGCGCGCGCGACGGCGCGCACGTGTGCACGTCGTCCCACGTTTTGCAAGGGATTTTGAAAACAAACTTAGGATGTTTGATCCACGAGTGCGCGCGCATTGCATTTTATGCAGAAGATGGCGGAGGGGCCGATAAGGGCCTGGCTGGGATAATCTGAATTCATTGGGTCAGGATCGTATGTGTTTTACATCGGTTCCCGGGGGTGGATAAGTCTGGGGTGGGAGGGTGGTAGAACCGACCTTTCTTTTTTCGAAAGGAGAACCGATGTTCTGCGATCTATACATTACAAGCAAAACAAGGCAAGGCAAGGCTAAACAGTGCAAACCTATGCGAAGCAAGACGGAGCAACAACAATAATGGCAACACAGAACAATGCACAACGATTTGTGGTATGCGACGAACGGCGACGGCGACAACGTAGCCGTTAGACCGACAGACACACACACACACCCAGACGACGGGCGGTGACGAAGCGGCGACGGCTGCTACATAGCAGCCAGACCGACCGTCAGGCCCAGACGACGGGTGGCGACGAGGCGGCGACGGAGCGGCGACGGCGACTACATAGCCGCCCAACCGAGCGTGAGGCCCAGCTCCTTAGAACAGAAGGAAGAGATCCTAAGTGCTAACACTGTTTGGGGAATGACTGTCCACCTAGCGATCTGGCTATAAATCTACTGGGCGTTCGCAGGATCTACTGGTCTCACACTGTATCTACCTCTCTCACTGCGACATGTCTTTCGGTCCCGCACTAGATCGGTCTCAATATACCGATCGCACTATCAATATCCATCATCGTCCCCCTTTGGCACGTAATGGAGTGTCCCCATGTCCCTTGCTATACCCCGGAGCCTGTCTGCAATACCGAAGATTATTCTAAGGGCCCAGGACCCAAATTCCCAAATCTCTTGGGGCTTCACGCGTGCTTCCTTGGCTCACCCGCGTCTTGTCGCATGACTTGTTCAGGCTCGATTGGGCCTCAAGACAGGCCAAGAGCGCCGCAAGAGGCCCCCAACCCCCAAGACGGTTCAAGAGGGACCCGCATCGGCAAACGATCGGTCCAAGACGCAAACGAACGGCTGAAGACGGCTGAAGAGGCGCCCAAGACGCCCCAAGAGAGGCCCAAGAGGCCTCCCCGGAGGCGAGGCCTCCCCGGAGGCCCACAAGAGGCAAACATCATAGTAGTTAGCATGCGACTTTTCTGTCCTCACGGCGCGCAAGACGGCCCACGACTGCCACCCAAAAACGGCTCCCGGGAGGCCTCGAGCCTGCCTCCAAGAGGCCCCCGAGAGGCCTCCCGCGACCTCCCGACAGCATCCTCAGGCGGCCTCGGACCCGCAACCCAGGCACGGTGGAAGCGTGAGCCGACAGCAACTTGGACATCCATCGATCTCATATGTCGACGAGACCTTCAGGGGGCAACAGCACCCCTAGATCTATCCTCCTCCTCCTCCTCCTCCACCTCCTCCACTGTCCTGCCCTGCCCTCTGCGGTCCTGCCCTTCCGCCGCCCCCCCCCCCCCACCCAGAGGCGCACCGGACCCTCGGCGCCGGCGGCGCCGCGGAATGGTGGGCCCGCTTCGCCGTGGAGGCCGCGCCCGCCCGCGTGCCGCCCAACGCGCGGCCCGCCCTCAGCAGGCCCTGAAAACGACAGGGCCGTTTTTTTTTTCCGGCTCCGTTTTGCCGTTTTTGTTGCCGGCTCCGACGCCGTTTTTTTGGCCGGTTCCGTCGCCGTTCTTTTACGGGTTCCCGCTCCACTATTTATCGAGCTCACTCTCTATCGATCTGTCCATTACACTATCTAGCAATCTTTCGGGAGAACTAGCGAAACAACCATCAGGACAACTCGTTTTGTAGGTTGTGCCTCACAAAGCGCGCTTTTCACGTAATTGCACCGCAGGGACCATCGGGACAACAAGTGGGACAACCATCAATACAACTATTAGGACAACCATTGGGACAGCCATCGAGGCAACCACGGGGTCAACCATCGGGACAACTTATCGGGACAGCCCCACACAAAGATCGCCGCGGGGGCAACTCATGTTCGCCTGCCTCAGCCTCTACTAGAACACGAACTAGCGCAACTTCGCCTCGCCTCGCCGGACCGCGCGTCACGCAAGACACGAGCCGACACCGAAATCGATGCCTTCGTTGAGGCACATCACGTTTCGCTTCGGTCTCGGCCCCAAACCTCCGATCTTTACTCATGTAGAGAGAATGAGAGAGAAATCAAGATAAGAGAGAGAGAGAGAGGGAATCCATATTTAGAGAGAGAGAGAGAGAGAGATGGAGGGAGGGAGAGGGAGAGAGACATCAAGAGGAGAGAGAGAGAGAGAGAAAGCGCGAGCGAGAGAGAGAGAGAGAGAGAGCGAGAGAGAGAGAGAGAGAAACACAGAGAAAGAGAGAAAGAGAGAGAGAGAGATAACAAAAAAGAAAAAGATAACGAGAGAGAGAGAGATAGAGAGAGAGAGAGAGAACAAAAAAGAGAAAGATAGACAGAGAAACAGAAACAGAGAGCGAGAGAGAGAGGGGGGGAACAGGAGGGAAGGATAACGAGGCCCCATGGGGGAGCGCCTTCCAAACGCAGGGCAGCGTGACGTACAGCCCCAGCGTGCTCAGCAAGGCGAGCGCCTGGGGCCGCGGCTGGCTCGGGCTCGGACGACGCCGCCGCTCTTGCACCCGGGCGCTCCCAGCACCCGCTGCTCCAAAGCCACCTCCTTCGGGTACTCCAGATTTCATAATTCGCCGGCCCAACGGGCCAGAGGCGTGCTAAGATCTCCGGTAACTTGTTAACAATATTTCTAGTTCGCGCGCGCGGAGCGGCCCCTGGGGGCCCCCGGACGAAAAGTACCCCGGCAAGGTCCCGAGAGAAGCCCGGGAGAAGCCACCAGACCACTCCAGGGGAGGGTATTTTTCGACACCCCTCACGAGGATCGTGGCCTCCGAGGGGGGAGCCGCAATCGACTACCCCCAAGAGCCCCCCAAGAGGCCCTGGGGGCCTCCAAAACGCCGCCAAGGAGCCCCAAGAGACTCCCAAGAGGTCCCCAAGAGGCCCCCAAGAGGCCCTAAAGAGGGCTCCAGGGCCGGCGGCATGATCGAAGCGATTAAATAAAAGGGAGGGGGTCTGGACCCTCCAAAACAAGCCATTTCAGATCTCCCCCGTGGGAGAACCTTCCAAAACATCGTCCCCAGACCCCCCCCAGGCCCTCCAAGATAGCCTGGAAGAGACCCCCCCCCGAAATGAGACCCCCCTCCCTTTATTACGAAATCTGGAGTACGCGCCCGCACGGACCAGGGGCCCGCGGATCTGGCGCGCGGGCGCCAGAGCCACGGATCGGGGAAGAGACGCCCCCCCCCTCTCGAAGTACGCGCCGCCCGCCGCGGCGACGGGGTGCCCGGTGCTGCACGACAGCGGGACCCGCCGCAGATGAGTGCGCCTGGAGAAAAAAACAGCAAGCACCGACCAGACGCTGCACCCACAAGAAGGCAAAGGGGCGCGCTCGTGGGGGCCTCCTTGGGCCGCCTTGGAGACCTTTGGGGGGGCATCTTGAGGCCTTTGGAGCCATCTTGGGCCGTCTAGGTGGGCTCTTGGCCCGTCTGACGCCGTCGGAAGCTTTCTTGGGGGCCTCTCTGGGCCGACTTTGGGCCCTCTTTGGGTGCTCTAAGGAGGAGGAGGAGGAGGAGGAGGAGGAGGAGGAAGAGGAGGAGGAGGAGGAGGGGGGGGAGGAGGAGGAGGAGGGGGAGGAGGAGGAGGAGGAGGAGGAGGAGGAGGGGGAGAAGGAGGAGGAGGAGGAGGGAGGAGAGGAGAGGAGGAGAGGGGAGGGGAGGAGGAGGAGGAGGAAAAAGCTATGTGCGCTCGCGTCATATCTGACGTCCTACCCCTCCCTCCCATCCCTTACCATGGCGCTGATTTTCTCTATCCGCGGACGCGTGTCGTAGCGGACCTGTGGCTCCGCGCGCGCGTGCGTAGTGGGTGGTGGTGCGCGTGCGTGCGTGCGTGTGTGCGTGGTTGTGGTTGTGGTTGTGGTTGTGGTTGTGGTGGTGGTGTTGGTGGTGGTGTGGTGGTGGTGGTGGTGGTGGTGTGTGTGTGTGTGCGTGCGTGCGTGCGTGCGTGTGTGTGTGTGTGTGTGTGTGTGTGTGTGTGTGTGTGTGTGTGTGTGTGTGTGCGTGTGTGCGCGTGTGCTGTGGTGTGACGTGGTGTGGCGTCTTGGTGGTTTGGTGGTGGGCCAGGTGCGTGCGTGCGTGATGGCGGTGGTGGTGGTGGCGGTGGTGGTGGTGTGTGTGTGTGTGCGTGTGTGTGTGTGCGTGTGTGTGTGTGTGTGTGTGTGTGTGTGTGTGTGTGTGCGTGCGTGCGTGTGCGTGTGCGTGTGCGTGCGTGCGTGCGTGCGTGCGTGCGTGCGTGCGTGCGTGCGTGCGTGCGTGCGTGCGTGTGTGTCTGTGTGCGCGCGCGTGTGATGTGGTGTGACGCGGTGTAGCGTGGTGGTGGTGGGTGGGGTAGTGGGGTGGTGGTGGCGGTGCGCGTGCGTGCGTGCGTGGGTGCGCTGGTGGGTGGAAGTGGCGGTGGGCGGGGCGGGGCGCGGTGCGGTGGTGGCGGGCGGATGGGCGTGCGAGAAAGAGGCCCGCGCTGGGGCGAGAACGCCATCCTGAACGACGGAGGCAAAACACCGATCCGAAAATGAGACCCACGCTGCAGCGGGAGCACGATTCGGAACGAGCGGGACCCGAAAATGAGGCCGGCGCCTCAGCGAGAGCAGCATTTTGAAACAGAAATGCAGGCGAAAACCCAACTCCCGGGAATCCTGTGTAAAAAAGCAGGACGCGGGGGGGGGGGACGAACACTCCCAGCACGTCATCAGGGGAAGAGGGAGAGTAGTATTCATATTGAGTAATTGTGGAGGGGGGAGGAGGAGGGGGAGGGCCGTTTTGGAGGGCATCTTGGGGCGCGCTCTGGGTCGAGGGTCGGCCTGCGGGCAACCTGGACCTGACCCGGCTCACTGGCTCACCACAATGGGGCGCGTGGCCCAAACCGCCGCGAATGACATCACTGGGGGCGCGCAAGCATGGATTAGCGATCCATGGATTTGGCGCGCGGTCGCCAGATCCATGGATCGGGGGAGGTGCCCTCGCCAGAATGCGGCCTGTGCCGCCTCGCTCGGCGGCAGAAGTCCGCGGTTTCCCATGGAAACGGGGTCCGTCGCTAATCCACGCCCCCTTAATCCATGTTTGCGATCGCCTGACATCAGGATGGCAAAAACAATCATCCTCATCATGTCGATGTTGGGGGAACCAACAAAAATACCGATACCGCCTGTCCCCGCACTTCTCCTGGGGTGCGTTCTGACCAAGAGCTTCGGGGCGAATCCAGCCGTGGCGACGAGGGTCTCCCCAGGAGGCCCCAAAATAGCGAAAACGTAGCTCTCACTCACCCCCCGAGCGAGATCCCCGAAACCTGGCGAATCGTAAGAAAACCGTGTTTGCGCTTCCCCAGCCCATCGCTCGGACGTCCATTTCCCGTGTATCGTTCGGTCTCGCGCGCGTGGTTTGCCAAGCGACCCAGGATGCTCCTCGGTGGTCTTCGCCGAGTATCGAACGTAATTGCACGTCCGAGCGATGCCAAAGTCTGCGCTTCCTCCACTTCGGGCGCCCGAGTTATCCGGGGTAACTCGGGTCCGGGCTAACTCGGGTTTGGATTCCCGAAAAAAGGAACCCGAGTTAGCCCTGACCCGAGTTACCCCTGATGATTCGGGGCTCTGGACGCCCGAACTATCCGGGGTAACTCGGGTCCGGGGTAACTCGGGTTTGGATTCCCGAAAAACGAACCCGAGTTATCCCTGACCCGAGTTACCCCTGATGATTCGGGGCTCTGAACTCCTGCCGCTCCTCCCCGCTGCCGCCCCTCGGACCTCCTCCCCCTCGCCCCGCCGCTGCTTCTCCGCCGGCTCCTCTCGCTCCACTGCCCCTCCGGCTCCTCTCGCCCTGCCGCTCCTCCTCGGCGCTGGCTCCTCTCCATGGAGGGCCAGGCGGGGGACACCCGACCAGAAATGTCGAGCCTTCCCCGCGGGTTCGCCCACGAGGCCGCCGACAGGCCCCCAAGAAGCCGTCAAGAGGCCCCCGGAGCCCCAGGAGGCCCCCAAGAAGCCCTCATGAGGGTCCCCGAGGCCCCCCGGAGCCTTCGAGGATGCCCCACGCGCCCGCCGGGCCCCCAAGGGGCCCCAGGAGGTCCCAAAAATGCAGCCAAGAGGCCCCCGAGAGGCCTTCCAAGACCGCCAAAAACTTTTCACAGATGCGTCTTGTCTGCGACCCAGTTTGGTCCCAACAGTGCCCCAAGAAGCCGTCGAAAAACCTCCTCCTCTCCTTCTCCTCCTCCTCCTCCTCCTCCTCCTCCTCCTCCTCCTCCCCTTCCCCCCCTATCCAGTTCCATCTCCGCCTTCTCACCCGCCATAGGCATACCAACATATAGTATCGGTGGTGCAATATGGGCCGGCGGAATGAGCGAAGCAAGTAAATCAACTGGGTAAAACACATGAGGCCCTTCGACAAGGCCCAACACCCTATGGATATACCCATAACGAAGGGCACTTGCAAATTCCCAAGGTGGAGGAGCTCAACTCGAAGAATCTATGCTTCCCCATCCCAAATTCAGGACAGTGTTGGCCCCCGTGCCAACTGTAATCTCGCAAACCGTATCTACTGGAGACGGTGCCGAAGCCCAAACATCTCCACTGCGGAAACCTCAAGCATCGGCGGATGCCATTTGTGCCCCATCCCGAATTTGACAATCCCAACATCTGGGGGCTCCTTCTCCCCCTCGGTCCTCGAACTTCCTCATTCAATTCTCAAGGAGGTGGTCCTCCTCCTCCTCCTCCTCCTCCTCCTCCTCCTCCTCTTTGAAGAAGAAATTCGGATCGGGGGACGATGAGGCAGAAGAAGGAATGAGGAGGAGGAGGAAGAGGAGGAGGAGGATTATGAAGGGGGAGTGGTGCCGAAGGGTAAGGATGACAATGCGCTCCCCTGCGTCCCAAATCTAGAGAGGACGGTGGTGGCCGAGTATTGGGGATGAGGAGAGGCCGATGATCGAAACTGTACGATAGAACGGGGAAGGAAAGGGTGAATGCGTGGATGACTACGGAGAAGAGGATGCAGAGAAAGAGGAGGGGGACCGAGGGAAGAAGACAGAGTTCGAGGATGCCCGACGAGGGAGGAGGGCCGAGGAGGGGGCAGGCGTGAGGATCAAGGAGCAGCAGGCCTCCCTCCTCCTCCTTTTCCTCCTCCTCCTCCTCCCCCTCCTCCTCCTCCTCGTCCTCCTCCTCCCCCTCCTCCTCCTCCTCCCCCTCCTCCTCCTCCCCCTCCTCCTCCCCCTCCTCCTCCTCCCCCCCCTCCTCCTCCCGCCCGAGCCCCCGCCGCCGGCCGGGGCCAGCCCGAGGGAGCGGCCGCGCCTCGCAATCGAGCCACGCTGCGGACCCGCCGTCGAGTGCCGCCTCGTCCGCCGTCTCCTCGGGGCACCGTCGGGGGGCGGAGCGGGGCCGTCCTCCCTCGCGGATGGACAGACCTCCCTTTAGATGGGGTCGGATGATCGCGCCACATCGCCGGTACATCGGCGATGCATCGGCGATGCACCAGCAATGTTTCGTCGACGTGGGCGATGCATCGGCGGCGTTCACGTGAAGCAAAGCGGGCTGCACATCAAGCCGCGTCGCCGATGCATCGGCGATGCGGCGCGATCCTCCGACCCCATCTACTCGGACCCCATCTATCGGGGATGGACAGACCCCCCTTTAGTACAACGTGGTTTAATGAATGTGACCTGAAACCTAAACCTGGCGGGCGCAAGCCTGGAACATAACGGCCGCGGCGCCCTCTCAAGAACCGAAGACGGACAATTCACGAATCGACGTGTCACTGTTGGGGGTTCTGTCCACCCCCGACTCCCCCTCTCGGAAGCTGGGCATGTGCTGCTGAATCCGTGGCTGATAAAATCGACCTCCGGGAAGTTGTCTTTGTCCTTCCGGGACAAAGCCCGTTGACTGTTTCGCGTGCCGAACCTCATTCCGGGAAGTTGTTTTTTCCTTCCGGGAGGGCCGTTTTAGCAGCCACGGTTTTAGCAGCCCGCGAATGACATCACTGGGGGCGCGCAAGCATGGAATAACGATCCATGGATTTGGCGCGCGGTCGGCAGATCCATGGATCGGGGGAGGTGCCCTCCCCAGAATGCGGCCGGTGCTGCCTCGTTCGGCGGCGAAAATCCACGGTTTCTCATGGAAACGGGACCCGTCGCTAGTCCACGCCCCCTCAATCCATGTTTGCGATCGCCTGATCCCCCCGAAGCCGTGACTCTAATGCGGTCAGGTTGCCTCCCCTCCCCCCAGGAGCGGGAAGACGAGGAGAGGAGACTCAGCAGGAGGGGAAGGGCGAGGATGCTGGTGGTGCTGCTGCGGGTGAAAGTGATGCTGGTGGTGCCGTTTATGATGATGATGCTGCTGCTGATGATGATGATGCTGATAGTGATGATGGTGGTGTTGCTGGTGGTGGTGATGGTGGTGTTGCTGGTGGTAATGTTGGTGATGATAATGAGGATGACAATGACGACAATACGGATAATGCAGATTATGACGATCATGTTAAGCATGCTGATGCTACGGGTGATACTGATGATGGTGCTGATGATGACGGTGGTTATGATGATGATGGTGGCTATGGTGGTACGGATGATGATGGGGCTGATGATGCTGATTCTGGTGATGTTGATTGTAATTATGATGCTGCTACTGACGATGATGCTTCTGATAATGCTGATGAGCACAGTGGTGATGAAGCTGATTGTGATCTTAATCATCATCACCACAAGCACCTGCACCACGACCACCACCATGATCATCACCATCATCATCCTCGCCACCAGCATCATCAGCATCGCCACCACCACCATCGCCATCGCACCATCACCATCATCGCCATCATCAGCATTGCCATCATCATTATCATCATCACCAGTTCCTCACCATCATCCTCACCATCACCATCACCATCGCCATCGTAATCATCATCATCAGCACCGTCATCACCATCATCAGCAACAACATTATCATCGCCATCATCGTCATGATCACCTTGATCAGCACCAGCATTAACATCATGATGGCGACGACGAAAGTGGGGTTAACGAGGATGATGACGATGAGCTGGAACGTGGTGGATGAGAATGGGCAAACCCAACCGCCACCTGTGACTGCAACAGGGACGAACCAAAACCTAAACGGCAACGCGAACACACACCCACAGGGAGAGAGAGAGAGAGAGAGCGAGAGAGAGAAAGAAAGAGAGAGAAAACAACAAAACAAATTACAAGACGCTTCTCCGCGCACTGGAGGAAACTGAAATATTCCGACTCAATCCTCTCCCTCTTGCTCCTCATCCTCCTCCTAATCTTTCGCCTCCTCCTCCTTCCTTTCGCTCTTTTCTCTTCGTCCACCACAATTTTGTTACCGCTTTCCGTGTTTCAATCCCCCCCTCTCCTCCCTGCTCCTACGGAGCGAAGGAGGGGGGGGGATGGGGGAGAGGGAGAAGATGGGGAGGAGGTGTGATGAACGAACAATCATGACTGAAAACATTTCAGGGAGTGCGACCCGGGAGCCCCGCCCCCCCCCCCTAAGCCCATTCCCCCCCGAACTAACCGCGAGGTTTCGACCGCCATCCCCGCGCAAGGGGAGGGGAAAATGGACCCCCACCCCCGTCGCCGCCGCCGCCGCCGCCGCCGCCGCCGCCGCCGCCGCCGCCGCCGTCGTCGTCGTCGTCGTCGTCGTCGTCGTCGTCGTCGTCGTCTTCGTCGTCGTCGTCGTCGTCGTCGTCGTCGTCGTCGTCGTCTTCGTCGTCGTCGTCGTCGTCGTCGTCGTCGTCGTGGTCGTCGTCGTCGTCGTCGTCGTCGTCGTCGTCTTCGTCGTCGTCGTCGTCGTCGTGGTCGTCGTGGTCGTCGTGGTCGTCGTCGTCGCCGCCGCC